CCCCCCCCCCCCCCCCCCCCCCCCCCCCCCCCCCCCCCCCCCCTCGATTTACTCCTGTGTTTCAGACGGAGAAGCATGAGTGTGTGTCCCAGCAGCACTTCAGGGGCCACAGGGGGACGCGAGTGAGTAACCTGGGCCCGGGGAATTACTCGGCCCGTGTGCGTGCCACCTCGCTTGCCGGCAACGGCTCCTGGACCGAGCCCGTGTTCTTCTACGTGTCCCATCAGAACCGTAAGCGCCACACACAGTCGCCGGCGCATGCTTTTGTTCCAGATGTTGGTAACCCTGTGTTCTCCTGAAGCCCCCTCTGCCACTCAACCCTACAGAGTACGAGAACGTCTTCTACCTGATGGTCACCATTCCTGTCATCGTGCTGATCATGACTGTCAGCCTGGTGGTGGTGTTGGTGCTGGTGAACAAGAAGAGGTAAGTGTCTCTGCCTCGGGGGGGGTGAGACTTTGAGAAGCCCATAGTTTCCACCCCCTTGGTTAAATTTAATTTCCAGCAGAGCCGTCATTTTCATGTTTGCCCTTTTATGTTGCTTATTTTTTTTTTACCACCTTTGCTGTGTGCTGCTGTTCTCATGACTTTGCGGCCTTGTCTTCACAGGAACAGCGAACGGCTGGGGAACGGCGTCCTCTACGCATCCGTCAACCCCGAATACTTCAGTGCAGCCGAGAGTGAGTGGACTTGCATTCCGCTCATGCGGACCAAACGAGGCGTGTGTTTAGGGGACCAGAGATGCAACTGAGCTGTCAGGTTACACTGTGACTACATGAACGGCTGGGTGTTTGTCGGTCTCTGTCCACCTGCATGTCTGCCTCTGTCCTTTCGTTTGTCTCTGTCCATCTGCCTGTCTGCCTCTGTCCTTTATTTTGTCTCTGTCCATCTCCCTGTCTGCCTCTATTCTTTATTTTATCTCTGACCGTCTTTCTTTTGCCTCTATCCATTCATTTGTCTCTGTCCACCTGCCTGTCTGCCTCTATCCATTCATTTGTCTCTGTCCATCTGCCTGTCTGCCTCTGTCCTTTCGTTTGTCTCTGTCCATCTGCCTGTCCGCCTCTGTCCTTTCGTTTGTCTCTGTCCATCCGCATATCTGCCTAAGTGTGCACATGTGACACTGTCCTTGTCCCCAGTGTACGTGCCTGATGAGTGGGAGGTGCCACGTGAGAAGATCTCCATGTGCCGGGAGCTGGGCCAAGGCTCCTTTGGAATGGTGTACGAGGGCGTGGCCAAGGGCGTGGTCAAGGATGAGCCGGAGACACGGGTTGCCATCAAGACTGTGAATGAGTCTGCCAGCATGCGTGAGCGCATCGAGTTCCTCAACGAGGCATCTGTCATGAAGGAGTTCAACTGCCACCATGTGGTGAGAGCTTTCATACACACCCTCCTTCTTGGGTCAGAGCCACTGTGTACCTGACATGGGTTATTTGTTGTCTTAACTTTGACCTCACATTCCCTTGTGTGATTGGTCTAGGTGCGTCTTCTGGGCGTGGTGTCGCAGGGGCAGCCGACCTTAGTGATAATGGAGCTGATGACTCGTGGGGACCTGAAGAGCTACCTGCGGTCTCTTCGTTCCAAAGAGGTGTCTGTCCCCCGCCTCCCCTGTCAGTCAGCTCTGTATCCAAGACAACAGACATTAATTTACCACCTACCAAAACCCCACTAATCTCGCCTTATTTTAGTCTTTAGCAATGCTAAGGGCTGAAGTACATAAGCTAATTTTCATGGCAAGGTACATGCTAAAGCTAATGTGTGTGGTAAGATGCATCCTAGCACGTAGTCGACGCCCACCGGTTGACTGCGACTGACGGGTTGATAGCCAGAACGTTACCATGGCGACTCAGGAGCGCCCCAAATTATTTTCCCGGTAAAAGTAGCTCTCTCTGTAAAAATGGTTGGAGACCTCTGAGCTGAGGTATGAGCTAACTTGCAGGACAAGATGTATTCTTACGGTTAATTTGCAATCTAATGTGTGTCGAAAGCTACATGCTAAGGGCTTAACGTGTGCACTGACATAGCAAGGAACATTCTACGGTACAAATTAACATGTGGTAAGATATATGCTGTGTTAGCGTGTACCTGCTGATGCATGTGGTATAACACAGGTTGACAGCTTAGGTACTTGGTTAGTCACACTGATGGATCTTTTATTCATCCTTGAAACCCAGCTTTCTCATACGAATGTTTAGCGAGAGCTGGTAAACATTTTGCAGTGTCCTCCACAGAACGCATCCAGCCAGCCACTGCCCCCCCTAAAGAAGATGATGCAGATGGCAGGGGAGATCGCGGACGGCATGGCCTACCTCAATGCCAACAAGTTTGTGCACAGAGACTTGGCTGCCAGGAACTGCATGGTGGCTGAAGACTTCACAGTGAAGATCGGAGGTGAGCAAGTCCGCATGTTTCACTGCGTCACGCTTTACGTTTGGTCCGCTGGGCTGCGTACAGCGAGGGGAGGGCGAGGTGGCCACCCTACTCTGGAAACTGTAAAGAGAAGCCAATCAGAATGTCCTGTCTAAACAAGGTGTGGGCATGAAGGGTATGTCTGACCATTAAATCATTCAGAGGTCGTTATTAGTGGTCAACCAGGGCTGCTTTTGCAGAGCTCTGTTTTTTTTTTGTTTTTTTTTTTTAAAGGTAGTTTGAGGGAAATTTTCAACTGAGCAGAGAGCACATGCTGTTCTCTGTAATGGATGCTTGGTGATTTTGAACATGCAGATTTCCGAAACAGGTCCAGAAAACAATTCGGTCATTCTCCCCAATGGGTCGTGCCTGAGCAAAGGAGTGTTGTAACCTCTGGAAAATCTGCTGAACCATGTAGGGTGCAGACTGGGTAAACTGGAGACGTACAGGGAGACTAGCAGGGGAAGGCAGGGGGGTACAGATCGGTGGGGTCCTTGGGCAGATTCGGCCCTGTGGATCGTCGTGGCTCAGATGTGTCCCCTTTTTCCTCACAGACTTCGGCATGACGAGGGACATATACGAGACCGATTACTACCGCAAGGGGGGCAAGGGGCTGCTGCCCGTGCGCTGGATGTCCCCCGAGTCCCTCAAGGACGGCGTTTTCACCACCAACTCCGACGTCTGGTACGCCCGCTTTCACTGCCCGTCTCTCCGGCAGGACCTGCATTTAGCCCCGACACAGCCCACCATTTGCCCCCCCGTCCCCCGTCCCCTGTCACCTGCTAACCTCAGCACTTCCCTGCCCCCTCGTAAGGCTTATAGTGTTCCATAGTGCTGCAGAGTGGGAGGGGGGCGCCCCCTTTTGTCGGTGAAAGTCTTCCAGATGTTTCCAAATGACTGTGCTACCATTAGCCCCCAGGCTCACCGCTGCATCCCTGAAACCCAAATCTCATTCTCTCTCTGCTTCACAGTGAGCACTAAGCAAACCAATCACATTCACCCTTCCCCTCCCCCACAGCACCAATCGTCCACTTAAAAAGCAGCAGTTAGTAGGTTCAGTCATCTGTATAGATGTGTAAGTGAATATAAAGGTTTTATGAAGAGCTTTTAAACATACTGTTGTATAAATAGTCACACTGATGCTGTCACTACCTGTACCTTTTGCATGTGTCATTTTTTCAGGTGTTTATGGTGTGACTGGTTGCGGGCGGCAGATGCCTGTGTCCTGAGCTCACCGGTGTCCTCTTGCTCCCCCTGCAGGTCATTTGGGGTGGTGCTGTGGGAGATCGCCACCCTAGCGGAGCAGCCCTACCAGGGCATGTCCAACGAGCAGGTTCTGCGATTCGTCATGGATGGGGGCCTGCTGGACAAACCAGACAACTGTCCCGACATGCTGTGAGTCCAATTAGCTGCATCAAATTACTGAGGGCTTGTTTGTGTCAAGTTTTAAATAAGGTTACTGATGCCATGGGTTGTTGGGGGGGGGGGTGGTTGGGGATTCCTGTCACTTCTGTAGGCAGGCGGCCTGGATCAGACACCCTGACCTTGGGGTCATTGGCTGCCCGCGGGGGCCTTTAATACCCTCTGGTGGGGACCAGCACCCTGCAGATGTAATTTGAACATCAGAAAGTAGAAATGAAAGTAGTTTTTTGGCCAGTCTGATCTCACTAAGAAGGTATTACCCACCCGCTACCCTGCGGCTGCCCTCAGCTTTAAAAGAACAGGGTTATGTATGTGTTATGGAGACGCACACTGTGGTTGCCATGGCAGCCCCTAGATTTGGGATGGTGGGGATGAAGAAGAGAGCGGTCCTCACATTTTTTTGGACACCGTGTGTGTAATGGACTGCACTGCCCACATGTTCCATACATTAAAGGGGGTATATTATACATATTGTACAAAAGTTGCTTGCTGGAAGTTAACTTTTTACCCAAGAGGAATTAATATAGAAATGGATCATACAGAATATTCTCTGTCATATCCTGCAATTTAAAGATACAAATATGCAAATGTGTGTGAGAATGCAGTGTTGGTGGTGAGTGTGCGTTAGGATGCAGTGTTGGTGGTGAGTGTGCGTCACGATGCAGTGTTGGTGGTGAGTGTGCGTCACGATGCAGTGTTGGTGGTGAGTGTGCGTCAGAATGCAGTGTTGGTGGTGAGTGTGCGTCAGAATGC